CATTTTAAATGCCTGCAATTTTATTTTATTTTTGAGTATGAATCTGCGAAAGCACTGTACATAAATAGGGTCATCAAGGGCTCTGCCTGTAACCCTTCAATATACATACATACATACATACATACATACATACATACATACATACATACATACATATACAAGCTGGCTATTTCAGAAGCGAAGATTCCTAACTGCAGGCTCACAAACAACGGTGCACTCAGCAGGACAATTCCTTGACAAAATAAGGACAGTCACGATCGAACCGAATGAAAGGATGGTGTCTTTTGACGTCATCTCACTCTTCACGTCCATACCACAGGCCCTTGCCGTCGAAACGCTCAGTGACCTGCTACGTCAGAGTTAAGACGGAGACGATGGCCAGCCCACAGCTCAAGATCTCATAGAACTCATGGGGCATTGCCTCAAAACATTCTTTACCTTCGAAGGGACCACATACGTGCAGATCAAGGGCACTCCAATGGGTTCACCAATCTCCGGACTCATTGCCGAGACGGTTCTACAAAAACTCGAGAGACGACTATTCGAGGAGTACAAACTCAAGTTCTGGGCACGCTACGTTGATGACACCTTCGTGATCATAGACCAGGATAAAATCAACTACTATGCGGAAGTACTGAACTCAATCATGCCCGATCTACAGTTCACGATGGAAGAGGAAGTCGAGGACAAACTTCCATTCTTGGATGTTCTCGTCTGCCCCCAACCAAATGACGAACTAGCGACGTCGGTCTACAGAAAACCGACGAACACGCTGCAAATTCTCAACTAAAACAACAACCACCCGCCACAACACAAACGAAGCTGTGTCCGCACGCTGTACCGACGGGTGGAAACTCATTGCAGCACGCCAGCCGCCAAACTGAATGAGATAAAGCTCCTCCGAGAACTTTTCAGAGCCAATGGCTATCCGCGAGCATTCATTGAACGAAGCCGGAGGCAGCCAAAGAAACGGAACGAGGAGCGTAGTCAGCCAAACTCATGGCGGAGCATTCCGTACATTAAAGGGGTCTCCGAAGTCGTGGCTCGATCACTCGCGCCACTCGGAATAGGTGTTGCCCACAGGCCTGACTCAACAATCCGCCGGCAAGTGATGCGGCCGAAAGATACGATCCCTAAGCAGGAGAGGTCGGCCGTTGTCTACCTACTTCAATGCAGCTGCGGAAGTTGCAACTGCGTTGGGGAAACCGGCCGACGACTGCAAACGCGAATGCACGAGCATAAGTTGGCCGTGCGAAGGTTGGACCCAAAGTCGGAGGTAGCAGCCCATGCCGCGCAAATGGGACACATCTTCAACTTTGACGCCGTTGAGATTGTGGGCCGGGGCAGCGATCACACAGCAAGGCAAGTGCAAGAAGCCTGGATGTCCACCGACCGCTCTGTCAACCGCCACATCAATTTGCCTCCCCCTTATCTGACTTTACGAACCTACTTAGCAGGGAACAGTCACGGCGCGGGACAATCGGGGCCGTCATTCATCACCGCGGCCGACGGGGGCGATTCAGGTCACGGTGACATGCGGGTTGGATGCAGCCACACAGGCGGCATTGGCGGATCACGCATTGGACAAAGGGCGCCATAATAAGGAGTGCTGTGCACAGGACCTCCCAGTCCCTGAAGATGGGTAGACGAGTAAACTACCCGAAACGTCGGATCTCAAATAAACCCCTCCCGGTGAACGCCCACTCTTCTTTTGATATGCCACCTGGGAATCGGATTTTCACTATTATTGATGCAATTTATATATTATTTTGAATATTGACCATACTTTTGTATATGTATATGTGTGTATGTATATTGAAGAGTTACAGGCAGAGCCCTTGATGACCCTATTTATGTACAGTGCTTTCGCAGATTCATACTCAAAAATAAAATAAAATTGCAGGCATTTAAAATGTGATTGGGTCACAGTTCAATCGTAATCATAAGGTAGTGCATGGGGTCACTGTAAATTAGTGCGGAAGATTGTAAATGACAGATTTTACAAAACTGGCTGTGCATAGTCATGCTGTACAAGCCGATTTCTGTCGAAAACTAGACGAGCAAGTTTTCTTTTAAACACACAAACTGTGTCAGCCGTCACCATCTCGCTTGGAAGCGAGTTCCACGGCCTGACAACCCGCTGGCTGAAAGAAAATTTTCGTCGGTCTAAACGTGTTCGCTCATTCCCGACTTTGAATGCATGGCCGCGTAGTTGGTTTGTACGGGCGAACTCAAAGAAGTCCTCTGCCCTTAATGAGCAACCCTGGCCGCGAACAATCCGGAACGTCCAGAGTAGACTGCAGTTTATTTGTCTATAAGAGAGAGGGAATAGGCCAAGCAAATTTAGCCTCTCCTGATAAGACAAATGCTTTAGACCGTCGACCATCTTTGTCGCTCTGCGTTGCACCTGTTCGAGTAAGTTGATATCCTTCCTCATCCATGGTGAGGCTGCTGGCAATCCATACTCTAGATGAGGTCTAACAAAGACACCAAAGAGTCTTTCGAAGAGTTCGGGAGGAAATATTTTAAATGCACGTCTGATCCAGTGTAGAGTACTAGTTGCCTTCTGGACCATCTTTCTGCAGTGTTCTGATGGCGATAGATTTGTGGTCGTCCATACACCCAGATCTCTGTGTCTTTCCATAGTTTCTAACCTCGTCCCGTCAATATAGTACTGGTGTTTGGGAGAGGCATTGCGGCCGGTGTTCAGGTGCAAAACCACGCATTTGGACACGTTAAACTTCAAAAGCCATCTGTTCGACCAAGCACACAGTTTGTTTTTTAACGCATTAAAGCTTTCGAGAATGCGGTATAAACGTTTTGTGCCCTACAAGGGTTAGAGTATGAAGTTCGTGACCTTCCTGAGAGGTCATGAGATGTCTATGTACATCCAAACTAAGACGTTGCGGCCGAAAGCATGGAGTGCAACACACGCCGAATAAGACAAGCACTAGTAAGCTATCCTAAGTATTAGTATCAGTATAGTTCAGGGAAAGTAGGTGTGTACCTTTGAAATCCCTATTGGTTACGTGCAGAGGAAGTATATAGAGAAAATGGAAACGAAGTAACATGAAAAAAATGCGAGGG